AGTGTAACAATATCAAAGACTTTATGAAATAAGAACTTTTTTCCCTTATGCAATAGTGCTTTGGCAGGTAGTGCACCAAAAATTATGAAACACAATGAGTTTTGAAAGGCTTTCTGCTGCAGGGTATATTTTAAGAGGTATTTTCCATCTCAAATCACAAAGCAAATCTCAATTTTTTTATAAATCGGCAATTTTCATTTTGACTTCACTCAAGGGCTTTTCAGTCTTTTTCACAGGTGTGCTTGAAACTGAGAACAGGAAGATAATAGATGTAAGAGAGAAATCACATCAGCTTAATTTAGCAGTTGTCTAAAAATAGAGACATCTCTACTGTTCCTCTTCCACAGCAAAGAAGCAACACATGTCTTGTGATTTTTTACTGTTTGATCTTCAGTACACCCTTAAATGTTTTATTTATCAACTTTTGTCAATTGAAGGGAATGAAATTCCTATTCCTATCAGAAAAGCATTAAGCAGCTGTCACCTTAGCTTATGGTTGCAGCTTGGATGAAAACATGATGCCACTGAATTTCCAAGTGCGTTTTCTGTGGAGAGTGCCACGAGCCAGTGAGTACAAAGAGTTGCAAAAAAAATCCTACATGGATTTAGTGAGCATTACTCCAGAGGCTTAGTACTTAATATGAGACTAATATACATCCATCTACTAAATGTTTCAGAAATCAGGCAAGCAGAAAAGCTTAACATTTCTCCTTCTACGTCACAAGCTTGAGGACTGATGTAAATGTCTCTAAGACTGGATCATGTCACTTGAAGAATCCTTATTTAGTTTTCGTTTCAGTATGTCCATTGGTCTGTCTTATTTGAAATGTAGGTCTCCCCAAATTAAAGAAAAAGCATGTATTTCTAACAGGGAAATTTATGTAACAGAATTATATTTTGAAAAATTATGCATACGAAACCATAGCTTAGAGTGTATGTTTTAAAATCCATGCAAGCTTCACTGATTTGAATTCTGTTGTAAAGCTGAAGTTGGATGGAAAAAGCTCATAAAATGTAAGAGGAGTCTAATTTTAAACCTCTAAAGAGGGATTCTTTTCTCTCTTGATGTATTACATTTACAAATCAAACCACAAGAGACAGACAGAGGCTGCGGGTGCAGTGGGGGAAGGACACAGTTACCCTGAACCAGATGAAAATGTAAACACAGCCTTAACTAAACCCCAACAGATGCAGGAATGGGAGGGGTACATTGTGGTTCCAGCAGCTTAACCTGCTGTGGTAGTTTCAGTCTAGCCAGCAGCCAAACCCCACACAGTCACTTGCTCACCTCCCCCACTAGGCAGGACTGGGGAGGGATTTGAAAGGGTAAAAGGAAGAAAAATTGTGGGTTGAGAAAAAGACAATTTAATAAGAAAAACAAAAGCCATGCACACAAGCAAAGCAAAACAAGGAATTAATTCACTGTTTCCCATGGGCTGACACAGGTGTTCAGCCATCTCCAGAAAAGCAGGGCCCCATCACATGAAAGGCTTACTTGGGAAGACAATCACCATCACTGCAAATGGTCCCCCTTCCTCCTTCTTCCCTCTACTTTATATGCAGGTAATGGAATATCCCTTTGGTCAGTTTGGGCTACCTGTCTGTGTCTCCTCCCAGTCTCATGTACCCCCAACCTCCTTGCCAGCATGGCACTACAAAAAGCAGTGTGATGGCTCTGTGTAAGCCCTGCACAGCAATTACAAAAATATCTCTCTATTGTCAACTCTGTGTTCAGCACAAATCCAAAAAATAGTCTCATACCAGCCACTGTGAAGAAAATTGGCTCTATTCCAGCCAAACCCCACACACCTGGGCATTTAAAAAGCAAATCATTACAAGTAAGGGTGAATCAGAGCAGGAATTTCTTCTAGTACAGGCTTTCCTGACAAGGAATTCAGGATTAGTGTCAGAGAATCTGGCAAAAGGAAAGATGAAATCAGGAGGAGGATTTTCTGTACTCCACATTTCCTCAAGAGGCTATCTGCCCTCATGAATGACCTGCAACATCATTCTTGTGTGCTTTGCATGCCCCCTTCTCCCCTGCAGAAGACTCTAAAGGAACCACCTATCATTCCTCTGCTCATTGTGATGGACATCTGTATTACTAAAAACGACATCAAGGAGACCTATCCTTTTTGGAAAGCTCTTGTAGGCACATAATCAGTAAGTCTGGTGTCTTTCAACTCCAATTCAAGAGGTGCCTGCATTTGGAGGCACTTCTGTTTTACTGACAGTAGCATTCCACAAGTGCATAAAATTTACCTTTAGTCAGGCTGTGAATGCTGACACTGTTTTGCATTTGGCAGCATCCAGGCATGCATTTTTTATCTCCTTCTTATCAAGATGTTCTCTCAGAAAAAAAGCAAGTACAGAAGAAAATACATTTGAGATTAACACAAACCAAAATGTGAGACATATTAGATAGCTTTATGACCAGTGTGATAGATTTAATGGAAATTTTTACCTATATTCCTACCTTCCTAAGTATCTGTAATTTCTATAGGAGTAGCTTCTAGGGGCCAGTGAGAGCAAATATCTTTCATTTGCTCTATATTATTAGAGCTCTGTGGTAACTCTGATATAGACAACAATCTTCTGTTTGTATTGAGAAGTATAGAGTTCTTAGGCACACAGGGATGCTACTTGAGCAGGATTTTTGAGGTAACAGACTTAATGAATAAACATTTGCTATGCTAAGTCACAGACAGATGAGTTGAAATAGAGAGCATTAAGGCTTTTTTCCCAGAGTTATGTGACAGTGAGTGCTTTTTCAAGTTAGCCTGAAAAATGAAGAATTAGCTCCAATCTTGATAGATCTCCCCTGATAAGATTTGAATTTCATTTGCAATAGATTTGGCTCAAAGGGCTTTTTGCAATTGTTCCCATATGATGATCACTTCACTACCTGAAACATGCTTGTTCTGTGTCATGTGCACAATATATGTCCATCTCTGATTTCTCTGAAATTCCTATTTTCTTGTTCCTTTATCTAGGATTCCAACATCTCAGCTGGAAGCAACATTAATCAATACAACTGTCTTGATATTCACTCTCACCACTTCTGAATATTTGTCGCTGACATTTAAAGCACTATTGTCAAATTTATATCAGATCAAGAAAGAACTTTAATAAGCCCCCACTGAGCTGCTTGCTGCTGTAGCTGTACCTTTTTCTGGATCTGCACTCGAGTTTTTCTCAGTTGATTATCTCTTTACTGCACTGCAGCCTCCAGTAGAGACTTCACATTTGCCAGGTCCCAGGAATCATCAATGGTTCAGAAAACAGGTTTTTCAGTAAAAGCCTCTCTCAGAAAGTACAGGTTTTTGTCAGAATTATTATTTCCAGAAACTATAGAGTTTCTCAGCACTGTGGGATGAGCTCTTTGAGGACTGCCTGGTTGCACTGCTCATGGCCTATGAGCACACAAACTAAAGCTCTTTTTAAACAAGATATCAGGTTAAGTGACACCAACATGTTTTCTAATCTAACCTCCTACAGCAGGGCTGCCTTGCAACAAGGTGCTTGGAATAAACCATGCAGGTGATGAGAGTGCACAAGCAGGAGTGTGTCTGAACCCACTCTCTGCCTGTAATTAAGTAGTAGAGATGTGCCCACAGTTATCGCCTGACTTGGCCTGGCACCTCTTCAGCCCTTATTGTAACTCTTTGCAGAACCTACTGTAGATCTATCCTCTGCCTTTCTGGGTATTTGTTGCCATTTCTGCACTTTTTCAATGTTGTACTTTTGTGAAATTGCCTCCCTGTACTTACAGCTTAAGGAAAGCAAGCACAAACATTGAGGTGTGAGTTCTGTCCTGCAGCTGCTGAATACTTCCATGCTGCTTAAAATAAATACACTAAACCATGAGCTATTGCATCTGCCAAGAAAGATCTATGAAAAGCAGACAGTGAAAGCATGGGTCTGCTTTGCAGACTGCAAAACTGAAAGTAATCTTGCAGAATTAGAGATTATGCAAATAAGACAGCTGTAAACAGAACATTTTTAACTAACTTACATTTTGCAGAAACTGAAGCTCAACAGTATTTTTTTCTTGGTAGAAGAGGGCTTCTCCAGCCTGTAAACCAGTCCAAGCAATTGCAATCTGTCACTGCTTCTCATTTTTCTTTCCTTATATTCTTTTTATATTATAAATATAGCAAGAGTCATTGAATGCATATTTTCCTTTCCCTAAATTGAAAAAAAGCAAAAAAAAAAATTAAAATCCACACCTTATTTGAAATGGATCACAGTTTAGTTGTGGGGAAGAAATGTCAGAAGATACTGTGCACTACAGAAATCAAGGTTATGACACCTAGAGTAGATGCAATGGATTTAGCTCACAGACAATCCATGGACTAGTTCTCATGCAGACATCAATTGAATGTCAACTTGTGATAAGTGATTTTCCTTATGTTACAGTAACATAATGAATAGACTACAGAGAAATCCATGTGAGAGGGACTGATGGGCCAAGGTCAAGGGTGTGAGGTTCAATAAGGCAAAATGCCAAGTCCTGCCCTTGGGTCACAAGAACCTCACACAGCACTACAAACTTGGGGCAGAGTGCCTGGGACATTGCCCAGTGGAGAAGAACCCAGGGGCTCTTCATAATCAGTGCTATGATCGAATTGACATGGTGATGTTTGCTCAAAGATGCCATGATCTTGGATGTCTTTTTCAAGTTAAATGATTCTGTGATTCTAAGTATCAGAAAACCATTCACCAGGGAAAAGCTAGCTGCTCCAAAATAGGAAGAAGTCAGATTGGTGATTTGAAGGGAGGCAAGATTTTCAGAAAGTAATTTTAATGGATTGAGTGCATTCAAGGAAAATCTGTCAAACTAAAGAATTTTTTTAGTCGATTAATACATGATTCATGTCCTAAATTTCTGCTTTGACATATTGTTTTTCTCACTTGACATTTCTCCTCTAGGTTTTCAAGCCAAGTGTTCATGATATGATCCAGCTGGCTTACAGGGATCAACAATCCACTTATGAAAAATGGTTAAAAACGAATCCCACCTGGACGATTTGACACTGGCAATGCTCCAGAATAAAACAGTCTCCATCACCCTCCCAGTTGTGTATACAGTAGTGGCTGTGGTCAGCATCCCTGGCAATTTGTTCTCCCTTTGGGTGCTCTGCTGGCACATCAAACCCAAAACACCTTCTGTTATTTTCATGATCAACTTAAGCATCACGGACCTTATGCTGGCCTTATGTTTCCCCTTCCAGATTTCTTATCACGTCCGAAGCAATCACTGGACATTTGGCAAGACTCTTTGCAGCCTTGTGACAGTGATGTTCTATTCCAACATGTATTCTTCCATACTGACCATGACCTTTATCAGCATGGAGCGGTACATGGGTGTGGTACACCCCTTGAAGTCGGTCAAGTGGAGAAGAAAAAGATATGCCTTGGCTGCCTGCCTAGCTATGTGGTTTGCCTTGCTACTAGCCTTCTACCCACTAGAAACTACAGACCTGACCTATGAAGTGAAAGAATTAGGGATTATAACCTGTTTTGATGTCCTTAAATGGAATATGCTGCCCAACTTTGCAGCTTGGGTAGCCTTTCTCCTAACTTTATTTGTTGTGCTGTTCCTGATCCCTTTTGTTGTAACAGTTGGATGCTACATTGGTATCATTAGGAAGCTAATTCAGACATCAAGCAGATATGGCAATAGGCAAAAGACTAGATCCATATACCTGGCAATAATTGTCCTTCTGTCCTTCATCACTTGCTTTGCCCCCAATAACTTTATCCTACTTGCACATATGATCAGCCGCCTATTTTACAACCGCAGTTTGTACCCTGCCTACAAGCTCACCTTGTGCCTCAGTTGCTTCAACAACTGCATAGATCCCTTCATTTATTATTTTGCATCGAGAGAATTTTACCAGAAATTCATGCAATTGTTTCGTCCTATGGTACCACTCAGCGACAGCTCGGAAAACAGAAGGGAAAGTTTATTCTCTGGCAGGACCATGTCAGCCAGATCGATGTCAAGTGGACCCATGGATGGGTTAGAGGGAGTAAGGATCAATTTGCAAAGGCAGGAAAGTGTTTTTTAGCGTTAGATATTCCCAGAAGAAAGACACCTGTGAAACTCAGGAGTAGACACAGAAAACATTTCCTTTTGAAAGGCCATGCTGAAAATACCTTGCTTCAGTGACAGAACTCAAGCTGTACTTAAATTGCATTTCAGGATTTTCTGGTCATGGAAGTGCTAAAAGAACTGAATTTCTTCAAGAAGGCACTGAAGCAAATCAAGCAGGGCTAGCCTGGAAATAACCTTGCTGCATAAGACCAAGGGATAGGTTTAGAACAGTTACTCTCAGGTTGTACTATGGTTAACCAAAGACTTGCAATTCTCAGTGAATGTGAAATATTACTGTACATGAATTAGAGCATACACCAAAGCTGGTTTGGGAGTAACAGAGTTGTTTTTCTAAAGAATGTGCTAAGCTTTGTTTTTGTTTTTTGATTATATTTCCTTCTCTGTTGTTGTATTTTTATAAAAGAAAGAATAAAAGTAGCATGGTATTTTACCATTAATGCATAATGCAGAGCCACTGTGAAATCACCCAACTGCTTTTCAGTCAAACCACACTGACACTTGAAAAGGCTAGGTTGACTCATATTATTATTTATTTCAATCTTATACAGCAAAACATCTCATACAATGAAAGGAAAGCTAACAATGTTTGCAAATACAGCTGCACTTCTTGAAGTTATTAATTTCTCAGGACTATGGGGAGCACTTTATTTAAAGTAACAGACCTTCCCACATTAATCTATTACAGTACCAATGCTGCTTGTATGGGGTTAATATCAACTGGTCATTTTCACCAATGTGAAAAGGCTACACATAGAAGAACCATCCCCCTCAGCAGAATTTAGCTTTACATAGTGCCTGGGGAGTGATGTTTTCTTCCTTACAGAGATAGTGTAGATTATAAACCAGATTTTCAGCTGGATAAATGAAAATTCAACCACAGACTGGAGAGTCATTCTGTGCCAGCAGAAGCCAGATGAAAACTTTTCCTGATGGCCAGATGTCAGAAACAGACTTCTTTCAGGCAGGCAAGAAGAAAGATGAAAACAAGGCTTGAGAATGGGAGTTGTACAAAACATCCTGAAAATAAGTTATGGCAGGTAGGTTGAGCACTCCTGTGTTTGGAGCCCTCCTCTGAAATGTCTTTCTACAGTTTGTTTGCGTATTGTGTGCCATGTTTAATCCTTCTCACTTCACAACAACTGCCTGCATGCCTGGAAAGACAACTGCTGCAGAACATGCACTGGGGACAGAAAAAAGAGAAGATATTCCTGTAGTATTTACAGCTTTTTACCTACGTTTGACTCTCACTGACAGAGGATAGACACAAACCACCTGAGAAGACCAGACAAGACCCCCTCACAAGCAAGACAAAAATACACAATAACCTTTTGCTGCGTTTCGACTCCATCCAACACTGAGGAGGAAGCCGTCTGCAATGTTGTAGATTGTTGGTTGAGACATCTCATGCTGCACTGATTCCTGAGCTCCTGTGCCTAGGCAACCCCCAAGGCCCTTTAAATTTGCCATTTTTCTTTGGGCATCTCATGGTTCAAAACCAATTTTACACCACTAATTACCATGAATTTCTTCACAGTGGAGGGTGGAAAACCACAACATACACAGTGAGATTTTTGAATGTCCTCTCTTCTGCTAAAGTGTTGTCAGTTTTTGGAATAGAATAAATGTGAGTTGACCTAGCACTACTGTTTACAAGCCAATGTGAACATTCAATGCTTTGTGGCATTTCACAGTGCTAGTTTTAATTGATCAGCACATTTTCTGAGTACAAAGCAAATCTTAGTGATACGTAACTTACCCAAACCCTCCCATCAATTTGCCTGGAAGCTACCCTTCACTATTCACTTTCACATGATTCCAGCTTTCTCACTATCACAATTGTTTAATTGTTTTTTGCATTTTGTGGTGGCAGAAAATTTTTTTTAAGTTTATACTGAAATCTCTCTCCTTTTTCTTTTTTTTTTTAACATGGAAATATTTTTACATTGAAAGCCTTTACTTCTCCTACATTTAATGCAGACTTTGACTCTGTTTTATCTTGAACATGGTCCTCAAGTGCATAGTCCCTCCTAAAATATGCTGCAAAGTGCCTGAACTATAACTGACACAAAATAGAGCCAAGAGGGCAGAAACCTTGCACTTTGGACATCAACTGCTATATTTTGAAAAATGGTGAATTGCTCCTTTTTCAAGTGAAAAAAGATGCTCACAATGGACTGAAAATATTCTCTCCAAACTCATGCAGCTCTTCATAACCCTTCATCTCTCTTCTGAATATGTTTAAAAGGAACAGGAAGGATGCCTCATTTGAGTACACTTCATGCCATTTCACTAACTGGCTTCTAGTTAACTCCTGTTGGGTCAGTGAGATTGTTCCTTGAGAAAGGAATGTAAAAATGCACCCATTAACACCAGTCCTTTGAGTCCGATGGAATATACTGTGAAGTCTTGGAGAGGTTTTATTTGAGAGGAAGAGAATAAATTATTATTAAAAGAGGCCCATCATACTGTTCTTTCATCCTGGAAATACATCCTTCTGGAGCACCATAAGAATAATGACTTCTACCCTCCTTGATCAGTAAGTGTAAGTTGACATCCAAATACATATAAAAATATACATATAAATATACATTGCAATTTGTGAAGTTATTGAGAAGATCATGTCCAATTCTGTACAATTTGGGGAATATGGGCCCTGGGCAACTTGCTTACTTGTAAGCATTATTATGTAGTTAATGTAATTTTACTGAAAAGAATGTAAAGTCTTCTGTTTGTTTTCAGGGTTGGTAGGAGAGTTTGTGTTTGGTGTTGTTTTTTATGACAGTATATAAATTTGGTCTGTGAATGTTCTTGAACTTTTTTGTAATATAATGATAATAATAAAGGAAAAAAAAAGTACATGATTTAAGATTCATTCCTGTATTTTTACCTGTCATGCGGGAAAAACTTCCGAGCATAGCAGAGGACAAGGAAACCAAGTTATGAAATAAAATTCATCTATTTCTCATTATTATTGTGGATTTTTTAAAATTTTTTTCAGATTTCTTTACAGGATAGATATATATATTAGAAGTTGGCATTATCATAGACACTTCACACAAATTTGAAAAGTATCAATAATTTAATAAGATGTTGGCTGACTCGAGTCCTTCTGCTGATGCAAGAGGTGCACCAATACACATATTTTTTTAAATTTCTATGCATTTCTGAAGGAGTGTAGCAGTCAGAGGCTGTCCCACCCCCAGTCTGGAGCAGGGCATTGGAGGAAACTGGGAACAGTCAGAGTCAGTTGTGATGGAATCATAGAATCATAAAATATATCAAGTTGGAAAGGACCCACAAGGGTCACCAAGTCAAGCTCCTGGCCCTGCACAGGACCATCCCCAAGAGTCACACCATGTGCCCAGGAGTATTGTCCAAACATTTCTTGAACTCTGTCAGGCTGGTGCTGTGACCATATCCCTGGAGAGCCTGTTCCAGTGCCCAAACAACCTCAGGGTAAAGAATATTTTCCTGATATTCAACCTAAACCTCACCTGACACAAATTCAGGCCAACCCCTTGGGTCCTATTCCTGATCATCAGAGAGAAGAGATCAGTGCCTGCCCCTCTGTTTCCTCTCACAAGGAAGTTGTAACTGCACTGAGGTCTCCTCTCAGTCTCCTCTTCTCCAGGCTGAGCAGACCAAGGGGCCTCAGCTGCTCCTCATAAAGCTTCCCCTCTACACACTTCACTATCTTTGCATGCTCCTTTGGATGTTCTCTAACAACTGCATGTCTTTCTTACATTGTGGCACCCAGGATGCAAGGTAAGGCCACAGCAGCACAGAGAAAAGCTGTGTGAAAAGCAGGACAATCACCTTGCTCAAGTGGTGGCGATGCTGTGCTTTCATAAATGTTCCCTAGACTGACTACGTTCCATTTTGGGTTCATTGTCTGTTTGGGTACATATATGCTGACACATGAGAGGGCCAGAGATTATCCTGAAGTCAACTCATCACTTTTTGTCATTTTTTCCAGTTCAAATAGTTTATAATAACATGAGGTGTTATCTACATTGATACCCACCACAGTGTTATTTCTCTAAGGTGATGGTTAGGGTATGTGCTTTCCCAAAGATGGAAGGGATAGCACAAATGTTTGTGTGTGAAATTTCAGTGTTGGTAAGTGTGAATTAATGCACACAGGGAAACTCAGTCACAGCTTTGTGTATAAAATTATGTTGCTTATCAGTGACTAGAGTGAATCACGATCTGTAAGTCCATTCATCAGCTCAGCATCATAAAAATCCACAGTTCACCCATTCCTAGTTTACTCTCTGCACTTCTGGCCTCTGGCACAGAGAGGATCAACAAAGATTAGAAAAGACCAAGGTAAGAGCACATGGTATCCTCTAAGAAATTAATTTAAAATCTTAGAAGTTAAATAGTTTAGGACTGCTCATGTCAGAGAAGAGACAATATAAGGTAGGTAGGAAAGAGGCCTACAAAATCTTCAATGAAGTTGCAAAAGCTGATTTGGATGACTTACACTGCCTTTGCCTAATAATTGGTGAACAACATATTAAGCTGATGAGATCTGAGGTTAAAAAGATCAAGCTCCTATCTCTTCTCACAACACATATGATAATTGGAAAACACTTTGCTAAGAATGTTGTGGATGCGCATAGTACTGGTCCAGAGAAACTGGAAAAGAACATGGAAGAGAAATCCATTGTAGGTTATTAAACAGGCAAACCACCATAGGCCCAAGAAGACCTTGAGGATTAAAATTGTCAAAAGCTGGAGGAGCAATAAGAGAAAGTCATAGTAAGTGATTGCCCTGCTCTCGCTTCTCTTGACATGCCAGTGTTTGAGGCAGGACTCCATAAACAAGACAGCCCCTTGGCTCCCCTCTGGTCCGCCTCACACTCCCACTTAAGCCCTGCCAGAACTGCCTTGGAGCCTGGCCTCTTCTACCCTGCCTGCTGGGGCACTGCCAGAGGGATTTAGCAGGAAATTCAGCCTGCTACCATCTTGGAAGAGGCTATTGCACAGTCAGGGGAGCCTGGAGCACAAGCTTGATCATCTGTCATTTAGTCCTTTTGACAGATCACAGAATCACAGGATGACTGAGGCTGGAAGAGACCTCTGGAAGTCACTGTGTCCAACCCCCCTAACCAAGCCATCTCTCACAATCAGGCAAAGATGAACTTGTGTCTTGCTCTTCAACAAACCTCTCCAGGTGCTTGTAACAGTTCATCCATTTTGCTTCAAAACACATAATTATTAATTCCATATCTGACATATTGTCT